CTTCCCCCGGTCCCCCTGCGCCCCACTCCCTTTCTGTACCTACCTCATCGCATCTATGAGTGCTACCACCCTCAAAGATCAATGCCCCTGTGGCAATCCACATGGTAATTTTCTGATATGCTGTTTTTTTTTCTGACGTTGAAGTGGTCGTTGTGCATTTCCTTGGTTGTATCTGTTCACATGGCACCAAACTCTCCTGAAGGCGATACCTCCAAACATTGACAAAGTGAAGGACTTTGAAAGCGATGCAACCTTTATCTTGCTGGTGGAGAAGGATGCCGCTTTCATGCGACTCGCGGAGGACCGATTTTACAATCGATTTCCCTGTGTCATCGTCACGGTAAGTCGGCAGTTGCTGGCTCTCACCAGAGTCCTCAAGCCTAGGCTGACGGTAAAAAACGGAAAGTTGAAAGAAAAAGGGACTCTTAAGTGCGATACTGAAGCAGAGTGTTGCTGGTTGGCTTGCCGATTTGTGCTTTCAGAAGAAGCCGTGTGCGTGGCAAATAGAATCAGAAGGGAATGGATATGGAGGGCGCTTAGTTCGGGTAGGTTGCCCCTGTGTGCGTTCGCTTGCCCCTGTGTGCGTTGGCTTGCTTCTTGGAGAAGAAGGGAATGGATATGGAGGCAGGATGAAACAGTGCATGCCGGGGGGAGAGGATGTGTCGGGAGGTCTTTCTCTCATTCGATTTGGGAATTGCTTTTTGATTGGCCGCGCTTGAGTTGATGATCCGGAATTGCAAGTTCTTAGGCAGTCGTTCGGCCTCTTTGAAATTTGTGTTTTTTTTTGGTCGTGCAGGCAAAAGGGCAACCGGATGTCGCAACGAGATTGTTCTTGAAGAAGATGAAAAGTGACCTGAAGATTCCGGTTCTGGGTCTTGTCGACAGTGATCCTTATGGACTCAAGATTCTCTCTGTGTAAGTGATTCTCAGTGTTAACCAAATGACTACACACATCTTGGTTGGCATTAAGGAAAAAACAACCTTTGCGCCTCAAACACCCTTCACGAGTGGTGCTCTCTCTCTCTCTCTCTCTCTCTCTCTCTCTCTCTCTCTCTCTCTCTCTCTCTCTCTCTCTCTCTCTCTCTCTCTCTCTCTCTC